CATGTTCATAAATCACTTCAAAAATAAATTAAATGTTTTTGTTTTTGCAGAAGAGTTTCAAATAGAGAAAGTATTTACAATTCTTTTGGAAGAAAGTTTTATTTATTGGCAAGAAAACATGACTGCCATTCGGTCAGTTGGGCACCAACCCTTTAGTCATTGGCATCAATAATTAATTTAAAAATCATCATTTTGGCTCAATTATCTCAGAGCTGGCTTACATTCTTTAAAGATTGTTGTAAAATTTACTGGTTTATTAAAATAATTATCTGTTGACATTCATAGTATCAGAAGCTTCAAGCTATGGTTACAAACCGCTGACCAAGTAATTTCTTGATTCCTGAATGACTGGCATCATTCAACAGTATTAAGGATGCTGAGGGGGTCATAAAGTGTCTGTATTAACAGGGTGTCTGCAGTATTAAGCAGGTTGAATTTAGAGAAAATGCAAGGGCTTTTTTCCCCAGGGACAAAAAAAATTCTATAATGAGGTGTCCTTTAAACAGATGTCCGTGAAGTGGGGATTGACTGTATTAATATTTCCCAGAAGTTTTAGGAGCATCAATTCACCTACCTGCCAGAGGCATAGTCACTCCCCAAAGAAAAACAAGCGTGGACCCCAGTGCGTAAATAATCAACACAGCAAGACCAAGCACAGAGGCAGGAACCAAAGAGGGGTACTGACGCTTGATCTGAGCGATTCTTGGTTCATGACTCTGTGCGACTCCAAACAAAATGAAGGTTGACAACAGGGAGATTGTACCAATCATCAAATCCTTTGGATACATAACCCTGTAAAGTGAAGTAAAGATCAGTGGTGGTGAAGGTCAACAGGAACAGATGTACATGATTGATTAACCTAGCACTTGGCTCTGCATAGTGGGAAAAAGGCAAAAATGGGGTAAAACAAAAAAATGGGCAAGCCTTCAAAGTGATCCAATTTTTTTTTTCGCCATTTTCCACCACTGCAAAGCCAGGTCCCAGGCTAGTGTTTCATATGTTTTAAAGGCAACTTCATTTTTCCAGTAGTTTGGATAACTGCTTACAGAAGAGAGCAAGGTAACAGAATGGGTAGGTTCAAAAGGACAGAAGACCCATGCAAGGCCATGTGGTTGCCCATGGTAGGGTTGCAAAAGCCATCTTAAAATAAATGGAACTGTTAACTGTTATTTCAAAACAATAGGTTATTGTTTCAGAACAAAGGCTAATTAAGAGTCCAGGCCATTAAGGCCTACATTCCCCACACTTTTAAACAGCAAATCTCCTTCCATTTGACAAGGTAGGACAAAGACAACGCCAACAGCTAAATGTCACTACTCCGTGATGTGCTCATAGAAAGGTGTAAATTGATAATCACAGCTCCTGGCTGCCTATCTTACCAGTTGATATTTTACGGTTTACATTACATCATAGAATAATAAAGAATCACTACTTGACAAAAATAATACTCTGACGTGATAAGCAGCTACTTGCACAGGAAAAAATAACAGATTCCCATTTTTGGATGTTTTAGGGTATTTAAAGAATACCCACAAAAATCCCAACTTTGGAATAGTGAGACAAGTCCCAACCAGGGAGGGAAATTGGTTGGCAATTCCCTTCTTGGGACTTGTCTTACTTTGCCAAATTTGGGATTTTTGTGGGTATTCTTTAAATACCCTAAAATATCCGATATTGGGAATCTGTTATTTTTTCCTGTGTTGATGGTTAAGAAATGATGCAAAAACAACATTATTTCAACATTGATCATATAAGGTTAATGAACTTTAATGAACGGTACTCGACACTTAAGTGCTGTTATTTGCCACTTTTTATACCGCCGATTTTAAACTACCATGCAAATACTTAAGCTTATTATATGTTTTTAGAACCAAGAGGACGTCAAAAGGAGCCTGGATTCCCTGTGGTTGGTAGGGTTTTGAACTGCCCGGACCACATCAATGTCCCCGCTCAGCTCTACAAAAACTCTGAGCAAGCCAAAGCTGTGATCAACCAACTAAACAGACTCGAACAAGAGAAATATCGAAAACTCTGTCAGTTACTATGTCTTGAGGTCACTAAAATAAATTAAGCGAATATTTTATAAAGGTCCCCGAACCCCCGGGGGGGCACTTGGGTATTTTTTGGGTGGGTATGTGCCGCCCGCGACTCCAAATTGGCACCACGTTCTAAAAAACGCCTCTGAAATGGATACCCCGTTCTAAATCAGGAGCTTCAAAATCACGACCCCGTTGAGCGGCACATACCTGTATAGGTAATTTATGGGAGTACCCCCGCCCGGGGCCCCAAACCTCGCTAGAAAACTTTCAGCTAGTATTGCGACTTACCCAACCAAAATGAGAATAAGAATGGCAGATAGAAAGTAGTTTGTTTGGTAATATATTAGATTTTTAACCATTCTGTTCTCCATCCTATCTATGTCATGAAAAGTTGGGGCAGTAAACCGAGCATCTGTAATAAAGTCCTGAAGAGAACGAACAGGAGGAAATTGAACCGCCATTTTCCAATCGCGTGAGTCCTTTGAAAAGCCGCTGATACCCTATTTGCCATGGTGGGCTCAACAGATAGATTGCCTTGCGATTTTTCCAGCGATCCGCAAAAATAAAAATTACCGCAAACATTTTTCCCGCAAAAATTTGCTCCAGAGAAAATGTTCTCTAACTTAAACTCGCTACACAAAAATACAGTACTAAGAAATCTTGTCTGTTCAATTATTTAAAAATATGTATTTCCATTACACGTACTTATCAATGCTAGGTGTCTTGGGTATTGGCTACTTTCTGATCTTCGCAAAAATTAATTCCCAGCAAGAAAAACCAATCTGTCCTAATCGCAAAAGTTAGTCTCCGCAAAACACAAAAAATTACCAATCCGCAAAAATAAACTCCCGAAAAAAATTTCGTGCCACACGTTAGAGACGGTAGATCCGTTTTTAATGAGGGATCACTTGATATCCACAGATAATGTACGCGTGACCCTCGATAAAAAAATTAAACTTAAAATAAAATGATAAATGAATTAAATATAAATTAAATACACATAATTTAAAAAAGTTCCACTTACAAACAATTGTTACAATTACGTTTTAAAGTTTCAGCAAAAATGTACTGATCGACTGGGCCTCTTTGACGTCTTTAGGGAGTTCGTTCGAGCTCTTAGCTGCCAAAAACGTTAAAGCATTTTTGGCCATACTAGTCGTAACTTTTGGTAGTATCAAAGTATGCTTTGCCCTTCTCGTGCCCGCATTATGAATACCAGCCGCAGGCTACCCACGTGAGAACTGGGAGCGCGAAAGCCTGCGTAGCTGGCGGTTTTTTGGTGTTTTTTTTTTTTCTCTTTTTCCATTGGTGAGAAATAGCCACACAACAGCTGTCCAACCTCTCTGGTTCACAAAGTAAGAGTTACAGCCGCGCGGAAGCTGAATCGAAGTCGAAAAAAGACCCATCGTTTTCTGTTTTGACCTCGCTTCAGCATTCAAGCCGCTCTCATTATTAATTTGCAAACCACGAAGAAAAAAAAAATTACACCAAGAAAACCAATCTCGACCCCAGACCCGTAAGCACTGCGGTCGAGAATGCAAAAAAACCCTCCAAGTTAACCTCCAGGTACGCATCCTGAATACGTATTACGCAGGATGGTAAAGCGTCCCGTCATGCAATGCGGTCAAACTGAATTATCACTCAATAGGTCATACACAATTAACATGTCAGTAATGACTTTTAGCCACTTCACAAAGTACAGATTCTTCTTCTCAGAAGAGCCCTTTAAGTAAATGGTTAATCATTATTAAGAGTGCCAGCTTGCTAGAACTATTTGCCGAATGGTCCTCTTTAAAGCTAAATTAGAAGTGGTTCAAAATGACTATTATAAATGACAAAATTATTGTAAATTGTAGTGTGCATAATTTAAAGGGAATTGATTATTTTAAATCAGTTTCAAGTGAAATGCAAGTGTTTTATATTTGAGATTATTTACCACTGTTTTGTAATCTCGTTAGTATTCAGGGTAATAACCAAACATTTTGGTATTTAAAATCCCATTTGGAGAGACCAGGATCACCAAGTAAAAAGTCTTGATTATATTAAACAATTTCATCTTATTAGCGCCAGGGGAAATATGTAAATCCAGACATACTATTTTTCCTATGAGGCTTAAACATGATGCTCATGGTGTTTTCTTACCAATGTATTTCTGTTTCATGGCTGTGCTACTTGTCAAATACAAGGGTTGTATGCCACAAAAATACTGTAAGTGTTCTATTTTGCCAGTAGAATTAGAGCGTGTGATTTCTGTGTTCCAGCTGATTCTCCCTGAGTGTATGAAACTGCTTCCTCTTTACACAAATTGTATTTTAAAGAATGACATTCTTTTAGGAGGTGAGTGGAATGATGTGAGATATTTGTTCAGTAATCTATTAATACACTCCTAGTTTTTCTTTAATATGGCAGAGGATATAGCAATAAAACTACAGAGAAGCTAGTCCACCATGAAAATAACTATTGTTTTTATACCTTCCAGTTCAGGCACATTTACTAATAATTGGATGAAAACGTTTTATATGCTATGTGTGATGAAGAAAACTCGCTTACTCCTTAGGTTGCCAGTTGTGCCAAGCAAGTACATATTTTTTCCACCTTTGTCTGTTGTCTTTTGCTTGGAAAAAAACTGGCTGTTTCCTTCGCGGTCAGATGCTTAGTGCCGGTTAAGTCGGGTTCTCTCTTTAATTGTCTATGTTGCATAGTTAAGTTCTTTAAGAATTCTTTAGCATTTTTCTTTATTACCAAAAGAAAGCAACATTTTTCTTGAGGGAAACTATATTGTTTGTAGATTTCACACATAGGTTCTATTTTTTATAAAGGATTTTAGGATCAGATATTTTTGCAAGTTTGTTGATTGTCATTGTTAGAAAGGAAAGAGTTACCATGACTTTATTATTGTTGTACAATTAAGGTTCAGAGATGAGTTCTAATGACCGGAGCTGGTTGATGAGATCAGTAATGTCTATGGACCAGGCAGCCTCTGTGCATTACTTCTATCCACGACTTTTTCCAATGGTATGGATCATCCCTTGTCCATTTAGAGCACTCGATTGAGGGGGCATTCTGGTTGTTATTTTGTGGAAAATGGGTTTGATTTGAGAAGAAAAGGAATAGGGTACAAAAAGTTACTCACAAACCATAGTCCGCTAATTAGCTCAGAGGCACCTTATTTTGGTTGTGGACCATCTAGTATTTGTTTTCTAATTATTCCCTTCATATTTTAATTTTCAGCAACCCCCAAATTCAGTATGTTGCAATTTCCCATAATTTTAAACATTCCCCCTCCAATTTGTGGTCATCAAAAATATTCGAAAAATCATCCAAAAATTCTCACACATTTATTAAATCCATGATTTAGACCTTATGGAGCCATTTTTGACTGAATGAAATCTTGGCTGGATTTGTAAGAAAAAGGGCAAAAATAAACAGAAATAACCAGGCTTTTGACACGAATACCCCCTTAAGCTGTGCCCAGAGACATGCACAACTTCCAAAAGCAGAGTTATTTTCAGATGCTTAGTTCACTCAAGTAGCCTGATAGCTAATACACCAAAACATATTTAAGGTCGTCAGTGCTTTCTTGAAGCAGTGAAATGGTGTAGAAAAACTGAAACCTGTCGATCAAGGGATGGGGGGAGGGGGTGGGGCTAAGATACCCATTACTTTTGTTGCATTATAATAAACCTGTGCATACTTGTTATATTTGTGGTAGTGCAGGCATCCATAATGCTACAGTGATGATGATTACCCAGACAGTTACACTCACTGTCAAAATAACGATCTGACTCTGAGACTATGAGTTCGGGTAACATGTGCTAAACTGCTCATTTATAATAGTTTATATTGTGAAAACGTACGTATACTATTGTTGTACGACTATTGCGACTTTTTAAGTTTTTGGTGCTGATAAAAGCAAATTTTTGGTTGTCTACAAAATGACCACGGTAGTGAAAATGTCACTAACTGCGAACGTGGTTACCAACGTTATGATGTTTCCATGGCAGAATGAAAAGAATTTGTTCTTGTCTATTTTTGAAGCTTAGATCGTACATATTTAAGGTAAACGACATGGGTAAATAAGCAGAAATAAGTATTTTTTGTACATCTTAACAGTAACGTTTCTTTCTGAGCTGAATTTTCCAATCATTCTCTTTCAGCATGATTTGGATGAGGACTCTACTGATCTACCCCAAGTCATTAGATGCTCGGCTGATCGAATGTCAGAGAATGGTGTTTACCTATTAGGTGAGTTTATGATACTCCTTGCTGATCATCCGTGGACCTGTATAAACTTCTCTTGCCCACAGACGTTTCTTTCTTTTTATCTTTCTTTTTCTTTTTAAAGAATTTTGTGAGCATACGAGAGTGAGCATGGAGCGTGCTAACCTTAAGTTTTCTCATTTACCCAGTCCCATCCCCTTGCGCTAGAAATCATTAGAATTTCCCGCGGTTTTTATTCTGATACGCGCGCTCAAGGATCCCTAATGAGAAAGTAGAGTGTCTGTGAACAAGCTGGTGTAAACTAAGTTACATTCAATTATGTAACTAAAAGATTGACTTAACCCACAGTTCAAGTGTTTGCTCTGCTTTGTCAGTCCTTTTGATTTATTCGAGTCATAATTATTGGCAAGATGCTGTCAGCTTGGTTCACCAATGAATTATTTCTTAGTCCAGCCTTAACGTTAATTCTGTGATTTAAGAAATCCCTTTGTTTTTGTTGTAATTATTATAATTAACAGAAAATGGAATTTCACTGTTCCTGTGGATTGGTCTTCAAGTTGACCCCAGCTGGTTGCACAAAGTGTTTGGAGTCCAGACTATTGGCCAAGTGGACATTGAAATGGTACAGTTTTGTGTTTCTTCTCATTGATGTCAATGGAACGTGAACTGAACGTTTTCGCTTGTCCAATTTTGTAGTTCTCGCATTTGATTTTTCCAGCTTAGACTGCTAGCAGCTACTTAAGATTGTCACAAGGACAAGAATTTAGCCTGAGTATCAGGCTGTGTTTAGCGGGGGTAGAGGATAGGGAACCGAGAATTAAAAAGGAAAGGAATCCCTCCCTGGTTGGTGCTTTGAATCCCCTCTCCCTTAACCCTTAAGGATGGTACCATACTCGGGTTAGCGAGCATGTTATGTGAAAGCAAATGAGGCAAACGTTTCCTTCCCCTCTAGTTTTGCCAAGTCTTGACTCAACTTTATGAAAAGGGACTGCTTCAATGTTATTTTTTCTGCAACTTTCAATAGAATTATTTGGGTTATTTTTTTAATTAGTATTTTTTACAATTTCACAAGTACAGATCATCTTATGTTGTAATTTTTGTCGCAGTAACTTGTCGTTTTTCTCTTTGCAGACCTCTCTTCCAGTCCTTGACAATTCTCTTTCTGTGCGGCTCAACAACATTGTTCGACAGATCCAAAACCAAAGACAACACAATCTTGAGGTAAAACATCTTGCCTATT